TATTCTTTCTTCCCTTTCATGGTCACCGGGTAAATAAATGCATGGACAATTTCCCCTGATAATCCTACTTTCTTCAAGACTGGCTTTTTATATTGATAAAAATATTTTTCCAAACAAAGAAGGAAAAAGCCTGTTTTTGAAGTGCCTTGCTGGAAGCAGTCAATAATCGTCATCAACGTACTTTTTTTATTTCTCGGAAAGTTGGTTGAAAGAAAGAGAGCGAGAGGGAGAAAATTAAAAAGTTAAAAAAAAAATAAAATAAATAAATAAAAGAAAAAAGAAAAGAAAAAAGCAAAAAAGCAAAAAAGCAAAAAATAAAAATAAAACGAAATAAAAATAAAAATAAAAGCGAAAACAAAAAAGAAAAAAGACCGCGGAAAAAGGATAAGGATGGATCTGCGATTGACTTCTTCCATTTCCCGTTCTACAAACCTTCGATTGCGTAAAGAAATCGGGGAGCATCGATTTTAGCGGCCAGACGCCGTCCCGTCAAATTGGGTACGGAGAGATTCCTTCCACTCTGGCAAGCCCGTACAAGCCTTGGGCGATTTCCCGAGACGTTCTTGGTAACTTCCTTACCATCGGTAGGTATCAATGAAATGAGCTTTTCCTCTCTTCCCCTTGAACACCGATGATCTCTCCTGAAACGTCCGAGCCTGATTAAGCGAAGAACTATAACATAACTAATATCAATCTACTAACTATATTATCACTATGGAAGAATATCGACTTAAGTTCGGGGTAACTAAGTATGGCCTGGAAGAAGACCGTTTTCTGTCGGGGCTCCATCCGACTAGTTGGCCAAGAACTGAACGATCTCAGTTAGTTTCATTACCACAAGCGAACCAGATACAGAGAAAGTGGTTTTGGTTTTATTTACTTACTCCGTTTGACGAGAAACTGTCTTAGCGTTGAGAATCTGAATCAAACAATGAGAGATTACGTTGTGCGAGGGAGAGGTCCTTTCGTAATATTTAGGTATATTCGACTGTGAGCAAAGAACCTATAGATACCACAGTACAGTATATGATTCCATCCCGGAGGTATAATTAGTACTAATAATGGACGTATTCAGGAGCTTAGGTACCTCCTACTAGTATGTAAGTCAGTCTATATGTACATAACATACATACATTTAATGTAGGTGTGTATGTACTATGCACATATGTAGGGCATTGAATTGAATGCATGAATGAATGAATGAATGCCCCTCCAACCTTACTTCCATACAACCCCAAGAGGTAAAGTAAGTAATATTGTTACCATTCCGTATGTATGGACGGGAAGAAACTGATTCAAGAGTTGAAGGAATTGAGAACGGCCTAGTGGGGGAAGGTTGTGAGGCTTTTGTTTGGGTCAAAGGTCATTGGGCCTCTTACTGTTCTCGGCCTAAACGGTTACGATACCGAACGATACCGTACACAGCCGATGGGATCCACATTGGGAGTCTTTCCACCCCCCCTTCCTTTTGATCCATTAATCTTGCATAGTAACGATCCTGCCAGTGGAAAAAGTAGACTCGTCGGTTCTTTCATCTTTAATATTCGCCTCTTCTCCCTTCGTTTCTTTCCTTCCTTTACGACCGGTTTCTTGGTCTGCAAGCTGGCCTTTGCAGCCCTTCCCCAAGCGACGACGAGGGAATCGAGTCGTCTGCCGTTAACACACTCACGCTCTCTATTTTGACTTGCTTTGGTCTGGAAATCCGGGCCAGCCAGACTAAAAACCTACATACATTCCATTCCGCACTCTCTATCTCAGTCTGACTTCCCAGTGTTCGACCCTGCGTCATTGTCACAACCACGATCTTCGCCACTTGGTTCTTCATTCCCGGAAAGCATGTATCGAAATAATGGTCTAATATGGTTGTTGGATACTGCTAGACGTTAATACTCGTGGATATGGATTTCATTGTAAGTATGAAACTATATTTTCCGGCTTGGACGCACGACGCTATCACCCTGCTATCCTATCTGTCCCCTTGGCTCTATCGCATCGACGTAACAACGTGTACTATCACGGTTACCCTCTTTCCCATGGCTGCTTTCGTATCTTCCTCGTGAATTGGTCCTCTTATTAATTCACGTGTTGAGCGCATCATGGTCGCATGGGGCCTCGCCAAAATGATGATCTCATCACTGTTCGCCTCCCTCGCGCCGTGGGGGTTTCAACATTTGCTCGTATTTCTCGGGGTGTTACTTGTCCAAAACTAACAATTCGTCCACTAGCTCTCCTTGACGCATTTCTGCGAGGTGCATGGTCCCACCTCGATCATCTGCTCGCAGGTCTTGCCATTCTCCTGCTCGCAATGCTACCCAGACAGATCCGATTTTTCTCCCGACGACACCCCTGCAACTTCTCATGACACAGTATCTTCTCATCTACAGAGCCCTACTTCTGGCAAGGACTCCAATTCATCCAAACTTCCCGGGAAACTTCCCGGACAAGCCGACTTTGAAAAAATCGAGGATCACCCCTACTTTATCAAGCCACAGGCCAATTCAGCTGAGGCCCAGCAGAGATTGAACCCACTTGGAGGTGCAGACGGCGATACCTGCGCAAGCTGTAGTTTGACATTGCCAGAAGATGTAAGCAAGCAGCTCCCTCCAGGCGCTCCCGGTACGCCTAAGAGCGATGGTAAAGGGAAAAACGGGAGTCCCGTTTTACGCTCCAGAGAGGTCGTCTACTCCTGCGGCTCAAGTCACTCCGAAACCGAAGACGGTGTACACGACCCGCATGTACACGCCTCCTATCCTGAGTCTCTACATTCCTCCTCGGTTGCATCCGATGCTTCTTGTCACACACATATTCTCACCTATCTCTCGCTACGAGGGCCCCCAAACCCGGCAGATTATGCTCTTCTCCGACGTTCTTCCATTCGAACCTTGAGTTGTGAGCTCCTTCCGCAAGGTGCCTCCTCCGGTCCCTTGTGCTTTGGCGACTCCTCTGCGGGGTATACGATCGCGTTTGTCTTTCGCCTTCCGGATCCCATGGCACGCGGTAAACGGCGCAGTTACGCGTTGGTTGCACTGGCCGGAAAAGACACTGGAAGGGCGTTCCGCGCTTGTCCGGTAATCTGGCGTGCTTTCGGTCGAATCTCCGCGGGAATCGTCAAATCGGCTGAGAAGTATCAGGAGGAAGAAAAGCGTCGCGAAGAACAGAATAAGGGACCCGATCGGACGAACAATAGACAGTACACCCCAGTCTCTTCCTTCCTCACCGGCCGCGCCCTTGATCCCGTTGGTCAGCTTCGTCGCCCTGGACAGGTGAAAGCAAGGAATCTTAGCGAGATCGTGGGCAACCAGTACATCTTTGCAGAAATTCACGCAAACTTTGTTGCTCTCTTGCAACAGCTAGGCTCAATGTTCGGAGCCGATCCCATTTCCGAAGAACGATTCGTTTGTAGTACCATCCGTGACGGCGAGGATGCGCGACGGCCTTCAATCGTGGGTGGCGGCAAATTGAAAGCGTCGCAGAAGTACGAGGATAGCGACCTTGGGATGTCTACGCTTGATATATCTTCAGGTCCCAAGCCTATTCCTATCGCACCACGCCGGTCAGTTGTCGCATAAACCATAGTAGTGGTCGCTATCAAACTACGTTACATAACAGATCACGGTATCACGTGAATCTTTACAATATTCCATTATGAACGGGTGGATATTGCTTCATGAATGACGGTCAATGACCATGACCTGTTTTTTTTTTTCGTTTTTTTTTTTTTTTTTTTTTTTTTTTTTTTTTTTT